TGCTGATTTATCTAAGCATATTATGTATGTTGCTCTCGCCAACCTTATTCTGTGCCCTTTAGTATTTCTGTGGCAACTAATGTTTTTATTTTTCAACTATGGTGAAATGATTAAGCGCGAACCAGGAACTTTAGGTGCTAGAGCCTGGTCACAATACGCCCGCCTATACTTGAGACATTTTAATGAGTTGGATCATGAGTTAAATGCTAGGTTGACAAGGGCTTACAGACCTGCTGTTAGATACATTTCAGCTTTTTCTTCACCATTAATGACTGTGATTGCAAGAAACATAGCCTTCATTGCTGGCGGTGTATTGGCTACTCTTCTAATATTAACAGTTTATGATGAAGATGTATTAGCAGTCGAACATGTTTTATCTATAATGACAATACTTGGGGCTGTAGTTGCTACATGCAGATTGTTTATACCTGATGAAAACTTAGTTTGGTGTCCTGAGCAACTACTAGCAGGTGTTCTAGCACATGTTCATTATTTACCGGCATCTTGGAGGGGATACGCACACACTACATCCGTGAGAGACTCTTTTAGTCAACTATTTCAATATAAAGCTGTGTATCTATTTTATGAGCTCATCAGTCCACTAACAACACCTTTTATATTATTATTTTGGCTGCGACCGAAGGCATTAGACATAGTAGACTTCTATCGGAACTTTACAGTTGCTGTTGTTGGAGTCGGAGATGTATGCTCATTTGCACAAATGGATGTACGTAAGCATGGCAATCCCGATTGGCAAACAAGCTCTCCAAATGAGTCTCAAGTAGATTATGGAGGCCATGCAAAACCCACAGTGAATCAGTATACTCAAGGAGAGCATGGAAAAACTGAATTGTCGTTATTGCATTTTGCTCTTACGAACCCAGATTGGGCAATGCCTCATGAAGCACACAGATTTGTTAGTGGCTTGAGACGAGGAGCTATGCATGAACTAAGAAATGTTAATGGTAACCAAGGTACTATGAATTTGGGGGCTATGGGTTTTTCATTGAATACTTTAAGTAGTTTAGGTGAAGAATACGCTTCAATTGCCAATTCAATTTTGGTCTCAAACTATAAACTGCCAGGAACAAATAACTTATATGCGCCAGGATTTAGTAATTTACAAGAACAAAGTATCTCTCGCATTGCAGATAATGAGATTAATATGAGTCTTAATGATTTGAATCGTGCAGAATTATCTGAAATTCAACCTGATACTTCCATGGTGACCCCTGCTTTTAATACAAGCATGCTGAGACGTGGTTTGAATAGAGTTGAAGGTAACATTGGAGGAAATAGCAGTCTTCTATTAAACTTACAATGCAATAATAGTTTAGGAGCTTCAGTTTTCGGACAAGGAAACACGATCTCTAGACCATTGAGTAATACTGGTAATCCATTAGAAAGTAATATTGCTGATATGAGTCTTAGTACTTTATATTTGCACGAGATGCACCACAGACAATTAAAAAGACGTGTTGGTTGGAATGAGCAAAGACCTTCAAATATATGGTCTCAATCTCAAAATTTAAGTTCCGATATACAAAATACTTCATTGAGGAACCAACCATCAACTTCGACTCAAAGAACAGTAGAATGCGAAAAGATGCCATTGTTGAGTGCGAAGAAGTCATAGCAGCTTAGTGTTATATTATAATTGACTGACGGAGCAGTTTAGAGCCAAATTGGACAATGTGAAAGAGTAGATATAGAATTATTGAAGTGGAAATGTATTTTTATTCATTCAAGAATTCATCAATATTTTTCTCTTACATTCAGTATAGGTTTTATTTCCATTTACAAACTCTGTCACAGTGTCTGATTTGAATTTTTAACTCTGATACCGAGCTACCTGAATGCACAATTTTTATATCCTTATTTTTTGGATTTATGATTTTACAGTATGGAACAATATATCAACAATATTATTGTGATTGAGTCTGTGGTTAAAGATAAAACATTGTTGAGAATAATATATAGAAGAGATGCTACTTTAAGAAAAACCGAACTTAACTTTTATTCATTCGTTTGGTCACAAATGTTATTTGAAATTTGTATGTCGAGGTAGCTTGGTTTCTATATACTACACTCAAATTTATGTATATAAATATATATATATATATATATATATATATATAATCCTTGTAAAATATTGCCCTGTGTACATTTTTAATGGCCATTTTTTAATTTTTAGCTATAGATAAAAAATAAGAAAAATATTTATACAAACTATGTATAAGTTTTATCAAAGTGTTTTATTGTGAGTTAAATATATATGGATGACATGTAAATATATAATAATAGAAATATATATGCAAATAATTTATTAGAATAACTAAATAAATATGTTAACTTAATAAAATAAATAAATATTTACACTAATATTGTTTTTGAAATTTGCATTTGAATTTCTAGATGTTTGTTCAAAAGTTTGAATTCAACTAAAGATGCTTTCTTACATTTGAGTAACAATATTTTGGAAAAAAAGTGTTGTATCTATGTGATAAAACCATAAATTTTGTCATAATGTGATTTTATTGTAGCTTTATCTAGTGTTGTCTGTTCTTATAGATATTTTATTTAAAAATAAATCAGATTGTTTTGCATCACAATCTTATTAACTTCCCGGCAGTTATAGTAATGGGCCGAAAATCGAAAATATTTTTTTTTGCATTTCTCGACGTTTTGAACATTTTGGCATACCTCAGAAAAAATGGATGTGTGTGTTTTGTGTGTCCTTATTTCTTCGTCCACGTTTTCGGGCGCATGGATCAACCGATTCGAATGGTTCAAAAAATGCTTCGATTCCTATTGATAGGAAGATGTGCTGATTAGTTTTTGGCAAAGGCAGGTCCAGCCGTTACGGTGATACGAGCAAAGAGTGTAGAAAATAGAAATCGAGTTTTTGAGAGAACGGATCATCCAATTTGAATGATCTAGAAAACATTCAATTTGTAATGACGGGTAGAAGTGGTGATTAGTTTTTGGCAAAAGCAGATTCAGCCGTTTTGGAGATACCGAGCTAAATGTGCAAAAAATTGTAGTTTTTGAGAGAACTAAGCATTTGATTTAAATGATTCAAAAAACTTTCTAGAGAACTAAGCATTTGACTTAAATGATTCAAAAAACTTTCTGCTTGTTTTGACAAAATAATTGGTTTTGGAAAAAAAAAATTATTAAAATTTTTTTTTTTTGTATATCAAAAACAATTTAGATTTTAATTTTAATTCTTAATTTTTTTTTCAAAAAAGTAATTTTTTGTCAAATTCCTAGTTTCTCAAAAATCTAATATTTACGAAGTAAAATTTTTTCAAAAATGTTAATCGTTTTTAAAAAAATAATAATATTTGGTACGGGAAGTTCTAGCAATTTGCCTTAAGGCACGATGCCCTAATTGCCTTAAGAGAGAATTTCACTTACAACTAGTTAGTAATATTTTTGAAGTCAAAAGTGTACATAATGCGAGAAATCTAGGGGCAAATAGTATGACGAGATCATTTGTGTAATGTATGTACAATCAATGGTTTTGTATACAATCGCTAAAAGTACTACTTCACTTCTAGCGAAGTAACATGCTTAAGTTAAATACGTGATAAATCACTTGAATGCGATAAATGCGAAGTGATAAAGTATTCAAATGTCCGGATGAATTATCACCGCACATTGAAACACAACAAATGCTAATTTTTGCCTCTGTAAAGTATGTAAAAAAATTGTTTTGGTATATTTGTAAAACACAAACACATACATCCTGAGAAAAACATGACTGACCATGCTGGAAGCCGGTTACATAATTGTGAAACTTATGCCAATAATTTTTTTATGTAACATTTATCCATAAACTTATTTGGTGTAACAGTTGCATATATGTTTTGTATGCAATAACGCGTTTACATTTTTTGAGAGTTTGATATCACACCAGGCGTACCCATTCACGCTTTTCAGTGTTTAATTTTCAATTAAAAATTTGAACAAAAATGCATATTTGTTACATCAAGTCTACCAGTTTTTTGTCCTTCAGTCTACCTGTACATATGACCATCCACCTATCCATCTACCTGTCTACCAGTTTACTTAACCATCAATTCACTAGTCCAAGCATTTATCTGTCCACCAGTATATCTATCAACCTGTTTATCAGTCTACCAATTTACCTGTTCAACAATTTGCTTGTTTAACAATTTACCTGTTTAACAATTTACCTGCTCAATAATTTACCTGTCTACCAATTATCTTGATTTTTCATATCTTCACGTTTCAGCGGTTTCTGAACATTTTGGCATACTTCAGAAAAAATGGAATGGTCCGCATTTCTTCGTCCACGTTTTCGGGCGTACGAATCAACCGATTTGAATAGTTCGAAAAACATTCGATTCCTATATTGATAGGAAGATGTGCTGATTATAGTTTTTGGCAAAGTCAAAGCCGTTACAGAGATACGGAGTTTTTTTTAAATTTATTTATTAATAGCAATCACAATGCAATTTAATCTCATAAGCTATTGTGACACAAAGGAGAGGAATCGAAAGAAAAAAAATTAAAACTAGTTGGTAATGGTATTTTGCCTTGAGGCAAGTTACATGAACTTCCCAATATGTGTGAACTCAATCAATAAAATATAAATTAATTTATGAGTTATTAAAAGTATTCCGAGTGGATTTATTACACATAATTGAAAACGAACGAACACGTTAACTCGAGTATTTTCTAAAAGCAAATTTTCAAAAATCAATAATTTTTATAATTGAACCATTTCCGTAGAACTTTAATAGTTCAGTATGTGCATTGAGAGCAAGTACTCTAGCGTTATACCAAGTAAATCGTCTAATTTTAGTTTTAACCAACGTCAAAAAAACTACTCATTTTTGATGAATTTTTAAAATTAAACGACTTGTCAGGCCGTAATATTTCAGTAAGTTTTATGAGACCATGATATATATCGCCAAAAAAAGTTTCATAAAAAACGGCTTAAACATTTTTTTTCAACAGTTAATTACACGAAAACAGCTCTGTAGATTTTCACCTAAAACTAATCAGTATCATTCCCAGCTAATATCTTTCGAAAAGTTTTTGATTTTTTAAAATCGATTCGGTAGTATGGGCTTAAATGTGGACCAAAATTTCAACACTTTTTTTCAAATTACAAAGAAACGGCTCGGCAGATCGTCTCACAAAACTGACAAACAATTAAGATTTTGAGAAATCGTCGATCAAAGGTCTAATTTTGACAAATGCTAAAAGAACGATACTAATTTTTGAAAACCTTGAAGAATTTTTAAAATTAAACGACTTGTAGGTCCCTAATATTTTAGTATTATCTACAAGACTATGATATCTACCGTCAAAAAAAAATCATAAAAATCGTCAAAATTATTTTTTAAAAACTTTATTACAAGAAAACGGCCCGGACGATCTTTACCAGAAACTAATCAGCACGATTCCCAACCAATATCTGTCGAACGGTTTTTGAATTTTTAAAATCGATTCAGAATTGCGGGCTAAAACGTGGACGAAAATTTTTTCACTTTTCTGCCAATTACAAAGAAACGGCCCGGCCGATCGTCGCACAAAACTCAAAAACGCTAGTCCTCATCGAGATACATCGAATGGCTTTTAAATTTTTGAAATCGGTCCAGCCGCTTTTGAGAAAACGTTGATTTACGGCAAAAAATCTGTTTACATTCACACACATACTTTTTCCAAATTTGGTCTCATTCGATTCAGAATGGCTTGAAACGTCGAGAAAACATTAAATTAGCGAATCGGATTTTTTGATAAAAACATAAAAGAAATAATTATCTAGAGTACTTCAATGAGTAAAGCCATGCCCAGGTATTTGACCACATCGGTTTGTGGTATTGTACATTGGTTTAGGGATACTTGAGAACAGGTGTCTTTTCTCAGCGAAACGTTTGTAGGTTGTATGCTTCGATTAGGCCTCGTTGAGTTTTATTTTCCATATTTTGGACCAGGTCTCGATTTTGTTAAGATGACATTGCAGTTTCTGTGAGGCTACTTTGGGATCTACATCAGAGGTTAAGATTGCGATATCATCGGCAAAAGTACAACAAGTAGAATCACCATATTCTGGAAAATCACTCGTGTATAATAGATAAAGAAATGGACCTAAGATGGTGCCTTGAGGAACACTTGCGTTCACCAGTTTGGGCTCAGTTTATTCTTGGCCAATTTTTACTTCAAACTTTCTTGTGCATAAGTAAGATTCAAAGAATTTTGTGTATGTTGGTAAAAGATTTCTGATTTTATATAGAAGACCAAAGTACCAGACTTTATCAAACGCCTGGCTTACATCAAGGAACAAGACAGAACAGTACTTCTTGGCTTCGAAAGCTTTGATGACAGTATTAACTATACGATGACTCTGCTGTATAGTGGAGTGTTGTTTACGGAAGCCAAATTGATGGTCCGGAACTATATTTGACTCTTTGGCAATGTTTTCTAATAGAAACTTTTAAAATACTTTTGAAATTATTGGCAGTAGACTTATTGGCCTGTATGAGTTAACAATGTTGGGGTCTTTTCCAACTTTTAGTACCATTATAATGAAAGCCAATGTGAAACAAGTTGGCCAGTAATTTAGTCTCAGTATTGCATTGAATACATGAGTAATGAAACACGGAGTGAAGAGTGCAAAAAATAGAAATCGAGTTTTTAAAAGAACGGAGTATCCGATTTGAATGATCTAAAGAAACATAAAGTTCGTAATGACGGAGAAAAGTGGTGATTAGATTTTGTCAAAACGGTCCAGCGGTTTCGGATATATAGAGTTAAATGTGCAAAAATGGCAGTTTTTGAGAAAACTAAGCGTCCGATTTGAATGATTCAAAGAATTTTCTGCTTGTTTCAACAAAATAATTGTTTTTGGAAAAAAAAAATTGTTTCATTTTTTAAAAAAAAATTTTTTTCAAAAAATATTCAAATTTTAATTGTAATTCTGACTTAAGTTCTAATATACTAAACAAATATTTTCAACTTTGCAATTCAGTTTATATAATTCTTATAAATATTAGACAGAGTTACAGTATTCATTTATAACAATCTAAAACATTTAATGTCAATCTAAAAACATTTAATATTACTCGAACATTTCGTTACGTTACGGAAAGTTCCAGCAATTTGCCTTAAGGCACGATGCTATACACACCACTAGTCTTAATAAATTTTGAATTTTTAACTTCCCGTAGGGCAAGTTATAGTAATCGCAAAAAAATCGAAAATGAAAATTGTTATATATCTTTACGTTTCAGAGGTTTCTGAACATTTTGGCATACCTTAGAAAAAATGGATGTATGTGTGTGTGTGTGTTTTTTTTTTTTTTTTTTTTTTTTTTTTTTTTTTTTTTATAGAGGTGCGAAAAAAAATCTTCATAAGACACCGCCATCGTTGATACTCCACTGTCCATCCTACAGCAGACAACGACGGACGGCAGTGTGGAGATTTTTACCCACTAAAAAAAACACTCCTCTCCCCTCTCCCCGCAGATGGTACGGAGAGGACTGGATTGGAACCGCGTTAGCATTACATCAATCCAGTCCGTGCTGCGCCTTGCGACGCCTGTTTTCGACTACTGGTCCCTTTCTCCGGTTTTAGCCTTCAAAAGATGCTGTGCATAAGCTGCTACAGCTGACCAGTTTTCTTCTTGTTTCAGCATATAGGTCACAAGACTTGAGGGGGTGAGCCTGGTGCCTATAATGTGCTCGGCGTTGTTGCGATATTCCTTCCACCGAGCACATTCAAAAAACGTGTGCTCAGCGTCGTCGATTTTTTCTGGACAGTATTTGCACATTGGCGTGCTATGCAGGCCCATCTTAAAAAGATACGCATTAAACTGTCCATGTCCTGTCAGTAGCTGGGTCAAAAAGAAATCTGTGTCGCCGTATTTTCGAGAGAGCCAGGCGCTAATGTTCGGGATCAGGCGCGCCGTCCATCTGCCCGTCTCTCCTGACGTCCACCGATCTTGCCACTCTTGTAACGTTTCATTTTTAATTCTCGACCTTGTTTCTGTGGAATTTTCGCCACCTAATTTAGCGTCGTAGAGTTTTACTCTCTCGAAAGCTAGCAAGTCAATCGGTGTGGCTCCTGCTATTACCAGTACGGCTGCTTCTGAGACCGTGCGATAGGCACAGGTAACTCTCAGAGCTCCTCGTCTTTGCACTGCCGATATTTTGCGCCGATAAGTCTTTTGCTTGAGGATATCCGCCCATATTTCCGCTCCGTATAGCAATACAGAATGGACTACCTCAAGCAAGACTCGTCGCTTTCGGGTTCGTGGTCCCATGCAGTTAGCCATAATCCTTGACAGGTTGGATACTGTCTTGCTAGCTTTTATGCATGCACTATCGAGATGTTCACGGAAGGATAGCTTCTCATCTATCATTACTCCCAGGTAGCGCAAGGCCCTTGTCGACGTCAAAGTTGTCTCTCCCACGTCTACTGTGAATGGTTTTGGAAACCATTTTTGTCGGGTCAAGACAACCATCTCCGTTTTTTGTTTGGCGAGTTTTAGGTGGTGTTTCTCAAGCCAGGTCCCTATGGTGTCGACGGTCTCTCGAACGAGTAGTTCAGCCTCCTCAATGCTGTCCACTACGATTGTGGCTGCGACGTCGTCCGCAAAGCCCGTGAGTTCCACCTGCTTCGGCAAGGGAATCTCCAGGAGCTCGTCGTAGACAGCGTTCCACAAATCGGCTCCTAAGATTGAGCCTTGAGGTACCCCAGCTGTAACCTCGTGTTCTTGATGACCTTCCGTCGTTTCCACTATCAACGTTCTCCCATCGAGGTAGTCGTCTATTAATCCTAGATTTTCTGGCTTTACGTCAAAATTATGCTCTAGCGCGTGTAAAATATCCTCCCAATTCGCACTGTTAAACGCGTTTTTAACGTCGAATGTGAGAAGGAGACACACTTTACGAGCTTTAAGACTACCACGCCATGCTTCTCTTGCTGTTTCCGTTACCTTCCTAATCGCGCGATCGCGCCGATCGTCGATCGTCCTTTTTGAAATCCGTGTTGGTTCTTAGCAAAACCTCCGGCGCATTCAATGTCGTTGCGCAATCTGCATTGAATAAGTTTCTCAAGCAGTTTTCCGGCGATGTCTAACATGCAGAGTGGTCGAAACGACGATGGCGTTACAGGGGTTCCCTTACCTTTGTCTATTAGGACCAATCTTTGCCGCTTCCAGACCGTAGGAAAGGTTCCGGTCGCCAGACAGGCATTGTAGGCGTTCAGAAGAATATACGGAAATTCCAAGGCTACAATCTTGATCACTGAGGCTGGGATGCCATCAGGGCCTGGTGCTTTGCCAGTTTTTATGGTTTTCGCCGCATCTTGGAGTTCCTTGACAGTGAAGGGCGTAGTTTCACTGTTTTCCACGTATTGTCTCCTTTTCCGTGGCGGATGTTTAGGGAATAGTTCCGCTACGATAGAATTCATCAGAGCAGGAGATTTCGGTGCTTCTGGTAAAGCTCTACCAAGTCGTTTTGTAACGATTTGATAGGCTTTGCCCCAGAGATCCTTGTCAAGGTCATTGCAGATTTCCTTCCACAATCCGGCTTTAGCTGCTTTTATGGCTTTATTTAGGCTTTTTTTTGCCTGTTTGTACTCGTTTGTATACAAATCTTGGTAGGGGGAGCGTTTTGCAGCTCTTGTGGCGCGGCGACGTAATGCGTGGCATCTTTTCCGTAGTTCTGCTATCTCTGATGACCACCAATATGCTGGACTGTGCACACGCTGATTTTTTGGTCGTGGCATAGAGGCGTTACATGAGGTGACAATAGCGTTCATAGTTTTAAGAACCGTTTCTTCCGTTTCTCTGCGGGTACTTAGTTTTGGATCAGCTTGGAGAGTAGATGCGTTTTGCTCGAGGGCTGCTCGCAACGCTTCCTGGTCAAGCTTCTTGGCATTCCACCTTCGTTTGCAAAAGTTGCTTGGTCGAGTCGGACCGGATCCAATACTAAATGTCACATGTTGGTGATCACTGCCACTATACTCTTCAGATACAGTCCAGTCTCCAATCATGTTCGCCGTCCTTGGAGTGGCAAACGTAATGTCGAGAATAGATTCCTGATACCCTGGTCTTCTAAAGGTTGTAATACTTCCAGTATTTAACACAGTAAGGTCTAATCTTGCAGCAAAGTCTGCCACGTCATTTCCTCTAGTGTCCGAGTATTCGGCCCCCATTCTGCCGATTTCGCGTTGAAATCACCAGCTACAATGACTTCTCCGTCGTCAATTTGCCGAGAGTGTCTTCTATGCTTGCCATTTTCTGGCGAAATACGCTAATCCCTTCATTTGGTGAGAGGTAGACGCTTACACAGTAGGTCGTGGGAGTCTTGATCCAGACGAAACCCTCGCCGCTTCCGTTGTCATTGATGGTGATCTTCTTTGAGTTTGTGATCCATATTGCTGCCGTGCCAGATTTATCTGCGAACCATGCTTTATTCTGAATATTCATATATTGCTCGCAGATAAGGCAGATATCGATCTTATCTTCAAAGATACGTTGGCGCAGTAGATTCTGCGCCAAGGCACATCTGTTCAGATTACCTTGTAGAAATCGCGTCATTTCTGTTCTCTCGTGGCTTCGGCAAGTGCTACACGGAATGCTTTACAGGTACCGGATCCGGCGACATGGCTCACGCTGTTTCGATCTTCTTTGTCTACTGTACATAGAAAGCATTTTGGCTTTTCTGCGCAGTCTACAGACTTGTGATTTTCCCCGCCGCATTTGTAGCAACACTTGCTTCTGTCTGGTCCCCCGCATTTATGCGTTTGGTGTCCGAAACCGAGGCATCTAAAGCAGCGGGCTACTTTAACAACTGGGCGAATGCGACAGTTAACCCACCCAATTCTTATGCGGGCCCCATTTAGGGCTTTGATTGCATTAGCCTCGTCTATCTCACAGAAGGCCGCTCGTTGTCCTCTTGATGTGACTTTGGTCAAGTTCACTCGTCGTATTTCCAGTTTTGTCGTAAAGTCCCGAATGAGTGCTTTGCGAACGTCATTTTCGGTAGAGACACCATCAAGGTCAAGAATCTCTATCGTCGTCAGCGGCGTCAGTGATTTCACTGTTCCTATGTTTTCAGTTGCTGCCCTTATCGCAGCTGCAAAGGCTGCACTATCTTCGGACTTGGGACTCATTTCCAGTAATACACCTCCATTTCTTGTCTGTTTGATGGACTTTATGTCCACGCCAGTCTCTGTCGGGTTTACTTTTTCTTTGATCTCCTTAAGGATGTCAGCGTACGTTCGTCCTTCAGCTGGTTGAACCAGAACAGCCTTGGTTCTATGTTTCCTCCAAGTTGTCCTATGATGGTTGTTTCTGTGCTCAGCACTATCATTTGTTTCAATTTTTCTGGTTTCCGGTTTCTCGGTTTCCTCCAAGGTTTCTTTCGGATCTCGGGCTCCTTTCTTCTTCGAACTTCGTCGAACCACTTTCGTCCAGTTATTTTCTACAGCCGATTTTTTAGGCGGATGTGTTTCCGCGTCAGAGGTGGGACTAAGTGAAGATAGCAACCTTTTGTTTGTATTTTGCTCCTGGGTCTTAGGAGTTGGCGTCTGAGTTACACCCGGTTTAATAGTTTTCTCAGGAGAGGTCTGTGTGGTTTGCACTGTCATTTCGAGAGCTTTGGGGGTTGCCGTATATTCTTTCAATGCCAGGCTATATGCTGTATCAATCGACCTAATTAGCTCCTTTATTCTGCTGTGAACATTGTTTCTATCTTTCACATACTCCGCTAGCTCGTCAATTTTGGAGCCAAGTCTCTCCATCGGCGTTTGACGACATCTAGTCGATGGTGCAGAGTTTACTCTGTCACGGTGAAGATTTCCGGGAACCTTCTTGCCTCCTTTTACTATAGCGGCTTTTGCCGCATCGTGCTCGACGTCCATAATTACGTCACCTGTCTCTTGTTTTTTTGGGTTTTCATAGTTATCCATGCTATTTAAATAGTCCTCCAGAGCAAAAGGTCGTCTCCGAACGCGGTGCCTTGGGAAGTGGAGGGGTGATCACCCCTACAGCTACCTCCATTACTGTAAGAGCTTGTGACCATTGGAGTGGGAAAAGAAACATCCGCTCCGGCCGTGCACCTTCTTCCTTCATTGGCATCCTCTTGCTCCCGTGGGTGCGGCACGTTGATGCCGGGAGTTTTCCACGTACGGTGCGCTATATGGATCATCCACACATCTCTTTCGAGCAGTGTCCCCTCATCCGCTTCCGTATGTGACCCTAGGTCAGATGGTGTGACCAACCAAAAGGGAGTTTTTAATTTTTCCGCGATACACGGACGGTGGCTGTTGCTCCTCAGCTCCGATGCCATATTTGGTCCGCGAGGGCTATTTTATTTCGCCCCAATCCGCCGATCTTACGATCGGTTAGGATACCCCCTATCCGCCACCTGGGGACGCGCCCGGTAGGAGTTTGGCTTCTCCCGACGGGTGTGGTGTGTGTGATGTGTGTGTGTATGTATGTATGTGTGTGTATGTATGTGCGGATACAAATTTTCGTCGACGATTTCGGGAACACGGATCAACCGATTTGAATAATTCAAAAAACATTCGATCCGTATTGATAAGGAGACGTGCTGATTAGTTTTTGGCAAAGGCAGGTCAAGCCGTTCCGAAGATACGGGCAAAAAGTGCCGAAAACGGTAACTCAGTTTTTAAGAGAACGGAGCGTCCGATTTTAATAATTCAAAAAACATTTCACTTGTATTGACAAGATGAAGAATCGATAAAATTTTCAT